ATTATGTGGAATAATACACTGCTGCAGTCACATCTGCGCACGGACGCGACGCAGCGACAAACATACAAGAATGATATCACTACGTTAACAACTGGTATCCGCACAGAGGCAATACAGCAGCAGCAACAACATCAACTGTTGAATTCCACTATCACACGCGTCAACAGCATAGAGGCTAACGCCTCAGCAGCGCCAGGCTGCACGACAGACGTGACGAAGCAACTCAACGAGCGCATCGAKCACGTCGTCACCATCATCGGCGACATAAGTTCTTTCAACGGACCAGACTCGATCAGCAGCACGGTGGCCGCCATCAAGACGGACATCACCAAGCTACGGACGAGACCGGAAGCCGCTACAAAGACGTTCAAGATGCCGCACTTCGACATCAGCAAGTTCGACGATTACAACAAGTCGGACGCCTTGTCATGGTGGCAACGCTTCCTCACGGAAGCATCATGCCGCATGGTCCTGGCGGACGACATGCTGAAGGCACTATATCTGCAGCTGATTGGAGGAGCGCAGGGATGGATGAACCACCTAGCGGCTACACACAAGTGCACTATCGCTGAACTCCACACGCACATTACGTGGAAGGAGTTCGAGCAGCTATGGTTCACCCGGTTCATGGTCCGCAACGTCGTGAAGGCGGCCATGAATGAGGTGTACACATGCTCTCAAGGGAACATGCCAACTCGAGACTGGACAACGAAGTGGCAAAAGATAGTGACCAGAGCAGGCTTCGACTTGACGTTTTCAAATCAACGATCCGAGTTCTTCTCGCGATCGTGCGCGGGATTTCGGTCGGCACTCGGTAATGAGTACGACTATACCACATTCCAGGCCATTCTGGATCGAGCGAACTTGGTCATCCAAACGGACGACAAGGCCGCTAACGAGAGACAATCCCAGCCGCACTATGTGGCTAAGCAGACCTATCAACGTCCGACACATAACAATGCCGTGTTTTCTGAAGAAATCGACGACCACCACACTGCAGCAGCATCCTCGAGTGATGGAGGAATTGTCGCAGCGCTCCCGCCGAAGGATCCGAAGAGAGTTCGCAAGAACAAGGCGACACAAGGGACAGCGGCGACGGGAGCTGGGCAGCAGCCATGGACGGCTTATAAGATCACCAAGGAGGTCTATGACCTACGTCAGAAGTACGCATACTGCCTATGGTGCAACAACGTAGTACACACTACCGCACAATGCCCAGACAAGGGCAAGGCACGCGTACCCCGTCCAACCAACTCGGGAAACTGAGTTACGYAAGGAGAGGGGCGACGTCTCTCCTCACTCCGCCGGACCCGGTTGCCTTGCTAGCAATCGATGTCACTACCGGGGAGCATGCGTTAGTCGCTGATTCTCGTGCTATGTACGAGGATTATGCCGCCCAGCTGGTACCACCATTGGACCAGCCTAGCCACGTGCATGTAGATTGCGTATACGCAGCCTGTACACCGTCGGCAAGTGATCCGGTCAGTTCGCCATTGATTTTCGAGGACTCGACGGCGTGGTCAAGACTTRAGGAGCTTGACCCGCTCACGAGAGAGGACTTCGCCTGGATGCCTCTACCCTCGACCGGAACCTTGCCAAGGCCGCATTGCAACGCCTTGATGGCAAAGCTACGCTTCTACTTGCACACTACAGTACCAGCTCCGTTGACGGACGACGGGGTAGCGGTTGCCGATCTCCGCTCCTATCTTGCGAAGATCGACCGCGAGCACGCCACCCAAAGGTACGCCGAAACCGACGCACCTTTGCTCTATATCCGCATTCAAATCGGAAAGTCAACCTGTAGTGCCTTGATTGATTGCGGAGCGTCTCGCAACTTCATGAGTCAAGCCTTTATGGCCCGCGCAATTCTTGGCCCGCGCGTTCGAAGAAAGACGCAACCTACGCAAGTTACACTCGCGGACGGCCGCACGCAAAAGTCAATTGACCGATGCATTGACGGCGTTCCGGTCTACTTTGCGCCACTTGCGTGCGAGCCGGTGTCTTTTGACATCCTCGACACCAAGTTCGACATGATTCTAGGCATGTCTTGGTTGCGTAGCGCCGATAATCCGGTGAACTTCCATGACCGAACCGTTCACACCCGTGATCGGAACGGAGTGTTAGTCCCATGTACGGTAGCGACCCCTCACACTTCGATTGCTTGTCACGTGGTTTCC